GCGGACACTGTCTACGCTGTACCTTCTAGGCGGTTAGGCCCCAAGCGGGTAGGATATGGTATTTATATTTTGTTCGGGGCGGCGTAGCCGCCCTGAACCCAAGCATTACTGTCTATACATCCCACTGTCTACATGGGTTACAAATATTCCAAGCAGACACTGTGTGTGTCTAGGCACTACTACATACGTTTAATTTATTACACATAGTCGGTATGACAGATTTCCTAACCTCCATAGTCGTCAACTTTAACGCTAAATATCTCGGTTCGCGAGGCAGAGCGACACTTTTTTCTGCCAGATTCTTTCGTTTCATGCAAAAACGCGTCGAATGAGCCTAATTTTATCGAAATCGGAGGTGAGGGAGGTATTCTGAATAATTACCCAAAAAAATTTTGTTATTCTGTTTATTAAGTAAATTTAACCTTTATGACTTCTCTCGGAATCCCAGTATTGCTGTGCAACACCAACGCGATGTATTAAAGGTTAGATATGTGTGCATCATATATATACTCATTCGCCATTTACTGTTAATATGCGCGCGCAGAAAAGGATAGAGATTCACCGATGTTTTGCGTCTCTCACCGTTCTGCCAACATCACTTCTACCGTATGGCATGCTAGGTCTATCTTATAAGTCTATGGTTGTACCAACCTCCGTTAGTCATATTGAAAATAAGGATGCAAACAGATGGTCAACCTCGTCACAATGGTAGAGAACGCTGGTTGCATATACAGGCGGATCCGCCGCGACGGATTCATTGCTCATCTCACCTATTTAACTGTGGATAGCAGATCCGCGAATCCGCCGCGAAAAATCCGCCCGCGTGTATAGGCGCCTCTTCGTCACGTCGCAGTGATAAAGTCGGCCGGCTGTACGCGCATCCTCATTTGCAATATAACTGATAGAAACATTAGGACGAGCTGAATATATCATCCACCCGTAAAGATTGAGCCACATTTGAGGTATATTCCACGAATGCAACAGTTTCACTCATAAAACCACCGTCAATCATCGTTCACTACACCCATGCACTTTCAACATTTTGATATTACTGAGGGGCCCTTATACATACTGTTGCCGCCTGCAGGCGAATTTTCAAATTTGTAATTCTTAATTCAAGAATAAATAGTTTATAAATAATGTGATTGAGTTTGTTAGAACCATATAATGATTTTAGAAACAAGAATACAATTTTAAGAATAAAATATACTTTGCATAAATCTATTAGTTATTAAAAATATTTATAATTAAAGAGAACATTTTATACTTAAATGAAAGTAAACAGCATTCAAGAATAAAAATATACGTAAATCAGGAATTAATTTTTTTCTGTACTTATTAGAAAAGAATTCGAGAACGTATGAATAAAAACGCAAAAGATGGAGATCCATATCGTGGATACAAAGTTATAGACCAGGGTCGAAGCCTTTGAAAATTGTAAATAGTAAAAAAAATTTAGAACAGGATGGAACCCATTGGAAAAGGAAGAAAATATAGCAAAAATAAAAGGAAAAATAATTTACGGGCGATCTGAGGTCGGGAAGTGGAAGGGGATGAGTTTTTAAGGGTAAAAAACGGTTTATCGCGATTTCCGGCAAAACTACAAGTCTTATGGAAAAAAGTTAAATGGCAAAGTTGTAGGTAATAAAAAGATGTACAACTTTTGTATTTACACTTTTTTCACATAACCTCAAAATTTATGCGAAAAATTTAAAAAACCGATTTTTTGGTTTTTTATTTTTATTTTCCACAAGAAATTTTTTTTTTCACGAAATTTGGTGAAAATTTACCTTTTTATGTCCCAAACACACTGTAATTTTTTTGATTAAAAATATTTAATTTTTCCCCTTATTTTTATTTAATTTCGAAAAAGCACCCTAATTTTCAATCGAAAATTCTGACGTCAAAATATCTGCTTTTTTAAAAAAGTCAGTGTGCTTTTTGTTCGTTAAAATCTCTACTTTCTGATGGTGTAAAAAAAAATATACATTACTGTGGCAAATTTTCGCAGAAAATGCAAAAAACCGAAAAAACTCGAATTCGAAAAATTGTTTTTTAATCATTATGTAAAATTTTTAGCTATTTATTAAAATTTACACTTTAATTACTCGAAAAACGTAAGATTCGATGCTACATTGATAAACTAAAAAATTGCAAATCGAAATATACTATTATAATTAACAACCAAATAAGTTAATAAAGTTAATACTTTATAAGACATGTACAATATTTTGAGAAAGTTGTAGGATCTTCTTTGAATTATATGCGTCGGTACCTATTGCTCTTTTAAGGTAACTTATATACCTGAATGACCTACGGAAAATACATTAATCTTGTTATTTATAAATAACTCGAATTCTTTTCTAATAAGATTATTATGGTTTTACTACCGAGAATTTTCAAATATGTCTAATTTATTATCTGGCAACATCATAACACAGGACATGAAGAATACTGTTAACTATATAGATTTTCGATAATAATTTAGTTACCGTACATTGAGAATGACCCAATCGGTGTCGAAATGTATGTGTAATTATTTTTATGTGTTAAATTAAAATTTTTTGTTACATTACTAGCTCTTAGCCCTTCATTTATTCTAAATTATTTTATATTTATTGAATTTTAAAATATGCATTATGCTTTAATTATTAAAAAAAATAATACAAAAAATTTTATAGTTAGATGTACTTATTAAATTTGTTGTATATGGAATCAATGAACTAGAAAGACCAATTACTGGCAATACTCTAATGCTTCTTTATTATGCATACACACTCTGCCTTGCCTTACATAATAACAATAAACTCGTCGCCAAAACTCTCGCCGACTAGACTCGCTCGTCGCGCCACTCACGCTCTCGTACACGATAGACGGCGCCC